AGTTTTTTAATATTGTAGTAATATAATATACCTGAGTTGAAGGTTTTATTAAAAATTTATTATTCTCAAAATTATTTTCTAGATTCATTCTTTTTTATATACACAAGAAAATTATTTAACTCATTTTTCTTGTTTTAATGTGCATGCGCTTGATTTATTTCTTAACAATATTATATAGGGTCTCTTATAGCGTATAATTCTAGTTCTGTTGCTACAAATGGAAGAGTACTATTTTGTATATAACTATCAAATATAGGCATAGCAGGTTGTCCATTATATACATAGTTCATATTTTGACATACAGGTGCCCAATAGCCACCACTTGTATCTAGTGTAAGTACTGCTCCAGAATTCATCAAGCTTTTTGTAGTTGTCAAATTTAAACCGCAAAATCCTTGTCCTAATTCTGTACATCCAAATGGTGTATCTGTTGATATGAGTTGTGCAACATTTTGGTAAGCCATAGACATCATTGGAAGGAATGCTTGTTTAAATATAATACTATTCCATACACCATTAATTTTATATTTAAGTCTATATTTATAATAGCCATCTTTGTTTTTATACTGCCAATTAGTAAATAATGAACTATATAATTGAGCAGTAGATGGAGTAGAATTAAATACTCTATAGGCACTATAATAATTGTTAAGAAATAAATATCCAGCAACTTGTCTAACTAATAATACTTCTCCAGAATTATATGGTGTTCCATAACCACCACCATATATATTATTCATTGCAATTGGTATTGCTTCAAAAAATTTGTTTGCTAAAAATATTTGTTGTCTTGAATCATAATGTACTCCATCGAAATTTGCACTCCTAAGACTGGGAGGCATACCATCTAGAGATATACTAGCTGTATATGGAGAATAATTTATAATATTTCCTAATGCATTTTGAACTTGAGTTGCTGTAGTTGAGTTTGCTTGAACCCATGAAGATAGCATTTGAAATGTAATGAATAGCATTTTATTTGCTTTTATTTGTGAGTTTGGCAATGTATCAAATTGGTTTGATGAGTATGCAATATAATCTCTAATGGTTTGTATAAAATTCATTAGAATATATGCATAGTTATCACACCAACCAGTTATAGAATCGTCTTCTCCTTGACTCCAAGTCATACAGCAAAACTCTGCGTTATAATGTGATGAAATGTAATTAATTCTACGAGTTAAATCTTTAAAACCAGTTCCATACGGCATAAAATAATCATTACTGAAACTTTTAGCAGTTAGCATGCATGGAAGTATCATTAAACATTCATCTGGATTTATCATATTTAATGTATTTACACCTACAGCATCTTGCATTATAAGTCCAGCAAGTATTGAACCATATCCTGCCCAACATTTATTATCTGTTTCATTTACATCTAGCCTCAATGAACAAGGAAGTAACACATCATTTTGTCCATTATCCATCGCAAATTGGACTATTCGTCTGTTCATATAATTTACATTAGTTATTGATTGAGATAAACCCCATTCTCTACCAGCATATGTATTTGATTGACCAGCTATAATCAAAACTTTATATTTATGTTGATAAGGAATTAAGCGATCTACATAATTCTTTGTAGCTGTATCTTGTGCATTAGTAGGATCAGCTACATTAATCAATTTATGTGAATTCAAATTTATATTAGCACTCATACTATTAGTTCCATCTATTTTTAGATAGGAACTGCTAGAAATCTGATTATTATCTACATAATTCTTTGTAGCTGCATCCTGTGCATTAGTAGGATTAGCTACGTTGATCAATTTATGTGAATTCAAATTTATATTAGCACTCATACTATTAGTTCCATCTAATTTTAGACATGCACTACTAGAAGTTTGATTGTTATCTACATAATTTTTCGTAGCTGCATCTTGTGCATCTGTAGGATCAGCTACATTGATTAATTTATGTGAATTTAAATCAACATCAGTAGTGGCTGTATTGCCAACATTAATGTTGATATTTAATCCATCTGTTGTGTAACCATATAATGAATTACTACCAGCTATATTCATACTCATTTTTTATATACTATATTTTTTTAATTCAATATAATGAATTTTCAATACTTTGAAAATCAACACCTTCATCAAGCTTTTTTAATACATAAAGGCACAAGTGTCCGCAAAAAGAAGTGTCTCCAAACTGAATTCTTTTACTATTATAATAAACAGGACTGTGTAAATATTGAACAAGTTCAACTGGAGGTGGTAGTGCATAAGAGTCAAAACTTAACTTTTCTTCTCCATCTTTATACCAACAAATCCAATGAAATCCACTCGTACTTGAATCTCCAGTATTTAATATTCCACATTCTTTGTTTTGTGTATTTTTAGGTAATTCATCTCTTACAAATACACCTCTAAAATTTTTAATTTTTAATTTTTTTGCTGCTTTTATTAATTGAAAGTTTGTTAAGGGTACATTTGGTAATATAATTCCTTCAACATTGATATGTTTGTCCATTTTTATTAATAGTTTTAGATTTTTTTAGATCTTTTTAAGATATAAAAAATAACTTACCTGCGTGTTTGCCTGCTTGCCTGTTTATTTCCAATCAATCTGAAATGAAAAGTTAGGTTTGTCAATTCTATCACTTTCATTCCAATCAATCTGAAATGAAAAGTTGGGTTTGAGTTCCGAAGGAACCAATGTTTTACTCTCTTTTAATTTATAATGTCCATATGCTAATGTGTGAATACCATCTTCTTGAATTACTCTTTTATCATCTTCTGCACTTAATGCTATTTTGTTTATTTCTTCTGTATAAACATCATGACAATGTGATCTTATGACATTCATTTTTCTCATCTGATTTCTCCTGCTAAGCAGGCAGTCTTTATAATCTTCATGTGTAATATAATTTTTTACTATATTTCTCTTTACTCCTTTACATCTCTTTTTATCTTCTTCATCTATTTTGTAAGAATACAACTTTGATCTGAGTCCTATAAATTCTGTAATTTGTTTTCCTGCTGACTCATCTTTAAACATTCCTATTACTTTCTTATTTACACCAACTTTAAATCCATTTTGAACAGCTGGATGATCTTTATTAAATTCACTTGTATCAAATTTACTTTCAATATCATTAGAAATATCTTTATAAAAATCTTCTGTTTTTATTTCATAGATTAATGAATCTGTATCTGTATATAATAGTTTAGCTTTATCTTTATATTTATTTTTTATGTAATCATAATGAAATTCGTACATTAGTGTTTTGCTCAAATCTAAAATACACATACCCAAGTAAATAGGCTTATTATATTTTAGTTTTGTTCTTTTCATATGTATTGCAATTAAATTTTCATCAAATATCGTACTACTTTCATAATTTGGTTTTGATGCTAATTTAATAGCTTCTTCTCTTTTAGAAACCAATCTCACATCAACTCTGTTTTCAATGTTTTCCATTGTTTTTCCAAACACTGAATTATTCATAAGTTTAAAAAAGTCTTTTTCAAAGTCATTTGTTGCTTTTGTTCTTAGATTTGTATTGAGTTCAATGTATTTACTCAACCATGCACTTTCTTCAAACTTTATTCCTCTGTGAATTTTTGTTATTTTCATTCCTAATCTTTCATACAGTTTCAAGTTTTCATAGTGTATGATATAATTTTTCTTGTGATTTAAATTAGGTACTAATTTTTCAACTTTGTTTATTTTTAATCTTTCAGGAGCAAGAGGATAATCATTATGCAAATCATGTAAATACTCAGGATATTCTAAATCGACTTCTAATATGCAAGAAGTAGATTTCCAATTTTTTAATTCTTCTTCATCCATCCATTCAAATCCATGTGTTGGAAGCGGTTTACTCATTGCCCATCCATATAAATTGTTTGCATCTAAATATTGTATGTATGTTGACTCCTTGTTTGAATTATATTCTTCACCAATGTGATTAGATCTTTTAGATCCATATACTCTAGTAGAATTATTAGTAGACTCGGATACTTTATTATTTATATTTTCTAATTTACAAGGTTTTCCACTTTGTATTCCCTGCTTGATCGTTGACATCATTTCATCTAACCATTCAAAACCAGGTGTAGGAGGTGTTTTACTTATTTCCCATTTTAAATTTTTTTTGCCTTGTATTCCTCTATCTATTATTTCATCAATCCATTTATTATCATTAATATTACTTTTATACTCATATATTTTATTAGTCTTTGTGTAATTTTCCATATATTTATTATTAGCAATTCCTAACCTGTTAGAAATCATGCTAATACCACCTCTTATTCCTTCTTTAATCATAAGAATCATGTCATAATCACTTAGCAACTCTAATTTAACTTTAGTTATTTTCAACGCAGCGTCCCAAGCTAATCCTGGTGCTGTATAGTACCAAGCAGGATCTAATTTGTAATTGTTAAAACATACATCTCTAAAATTTTCAAAGACATCAGCTAGTAATAATACATCAGATTCGTTATATAAATTATGATAATCTCTAAATGTTTTACATTGAAACTTTTCCCATACAGTTTGAGCATGTAAATAATCTTCATCACTTATTCCTTCATCGTTTAGTCTTGAATAAAATGATTCTTTTGGTGGTAGTTGTGTTTCATTTAATTTATCAATAGAGTCAACCCATTCATAAGGATAAACACCTTTTCTTAACAATAAATTGAGTTCATTTCCAGAATAGTATCTACTAATATTTTTACATTGATCTTTTGACAAATTTTTAGTTAAACTATCTAAACTAGCAGCCATAAATTTAAAACTATCGAGAAAACGGAGCTCTCTCTTAATTTTAACTTTTTTTCCTTTTTTATTCGTAAACTCATCAAGTTTAATTTCTTTAGAAAAGCTGATATACTTTTCTTCATTGTTAGGAATGCAATTTAATTTTCCTCCTTCTGACAATTTCTTTATGAACAAGTGAGAATCATAACCAGATAAATTGTGAAATAGTACTGGAATGAATTTTGGAATTTTAAATTGTAAGTTACAATCACTATGTGCAGCAC